TAATACTGATACAGCTGGCAGCTGCTTCAATATACCCGGTTTCAATGTCTGCCTGAAAAATGCAAATAGCAGCTAGTGAATAATACCAGAACATCTTAATACCACAAAGACAGTGAAAGGTGAATGGCCAAGTGAGGATTTCATTAATCCAGAGATCCCAAGGCCTCTCAGTGCAGTATCTATATGTTTCAGAAATCATTCTCTTACACTATCTGACTGCCGATTTCACTGGTGTCCTATTCTTGATGAACCATTTCACCTCATTTTCTAAAAAAAAAACCAAAAGAACTGTGGATGCTGTAAATCGTGAACCAAAAACAGAAGTTGCTGGAAAAGCTGATCAGTTCTGACAGCTTCTGTGAAGAAAAACCAGAGTTAACATTTCGGGTCCGGTGACTCTTCCTCAGGACTGATGGTGGCTGGGAAAATGTTGGTTTATACGCAGTAGATAGGGTGGGGTAGAGGGGGTAAGGAGTAAACGATAGGTGGGGATAGAGCCCAAAGAAAGAGAAGAGCAGTTGGATACAAAGAACAAAGAAAATTACAGCACAGGAACAGGCCCTTCGGCCCTCCAAGCCTGCGCCGATCCAGATCCTCTGTCTAAACCTGTTGCCTATTTTCCAAGGATCTGTATCCCTCTGCTCCCTGCCCATTCATGTATCTGTCTAGATACATCTTAAATGACACTATCATGCCCACCTCTACCGGCAACGCGTTCCAGGCACTCACACCATCTGAGTAAAGAACTTTCCAAGCATATCTCCCTTAAACTTTTCCCCTCTCACCTTGAAATCGTGACCCCTAATAATTGAGTCCCCCACTCTGGGAAAAAGCTTCTTGCTATCCACCCTGTCTATACCTCTCATGATTTTGTAGACCTCAATCAGGTTCCCCCTCAACCTCCGTCTTTCCAATGTAAATAATCCTAATCTACTCAACCTCTCTTCATAGCTAGCGCCCTCCATACCAGGCAACATCCTGGTGAACCGCCTGTGCACCCTCTCCAAGGCATCCACATCCTTTTGGTAATGTGGCGACCAGAACTGTACGCAGTATTCCAAATGTGGTCGAACCAAAGTCCTATACAACTGCAACATGACCTGCCAACTCTTGTACTCAATACCCAGTCCGATGATACACAAAGGAGTTGCTAACGATCAGGCTGGGACAGTGAATAGTTGTTAATGGAGAACTGTTAGTGACTAACAATAGGTAGTGTGTGATGGCAGGCTATGTGATAACAAGGCCTGGTGTGTTGGGTAGGGGGCTTAGACATGGGAGAGTTTAGGCCCTAAAATTATTGAGCTCAATATGAAGTCCTGAGGACTGCAGGGTCCCCAGGCAGAAAATGAGGTGCTGTTCTTCCAGTTTGCACTGATCTTCGCTGGAACTCTGCACCAAACCTGAGACAGAGATGTCGGTCAGAGAACAGGGTGGGGTTTTTAAGTAGGCAACAGGTAGATCAGGATCTTTTTTGCGAGCAGAACGCAGATGTTCTGTGAAGTGGTCACCCAGTCTACGCTTTCTTTCCCCAATGTAGAGGAGATCACATTGTGAGCAGCGAATGCAGTAGACTAGATTGTGGGAAACATAGATAAAGTGCTGCTTCACCTGGAAGGTATGTTTGGGTCTTTGGATACTGGCAAGGGAGGAGGTAAATGGGCAGGTGTTGCACCTTCGCCAGTTACAGGGGAAGGTGCCAAAGGGCTGTGGAGAGGTGTTGGTGGTGAAGGAAGTGTGAACCAGAGTGTCCTGGAGGGAACACTCCCTGCGGAAGGCGGACAAAAGATGAGAGGGGAATGTGCGTCTGGTGGTGGCATCTTGCTGGAGGTGGCGGAAATGGCGTCTGATGATCTTCTGGATGTGGATGCGGGTGGGATGGTGGGTAAGGACAAGGGGAACCCTATTGCCGTTGCGGGAGGGAAGAGAAGGGGTGATGGTGGAAGTGCAGGAGATGTGTCGGACCCTGTCAACAACCGTGCTGGGGAGTCCTCGGTTGAGGAAGAAAGTGGACATGTCAGAGGCTCCCTTGTTGAAGGTGGCCTCATCTGAACATATGCAACGGAGACGGAGGAACTGAGAGAATGGGATAGAGTCTTTAAGGAAGCAGGGTATGAGGATGTATAGTCCAGGTAGCTGTGGGAGTCCATGTTTACGGTGGATATTAGTGGCCAGTCCATCCCCAAGAATGAGAACAGAGATGTCGAGGAAGGGAATGCTTTGAATTCTCCTAGGATCACAGGTATCTCCGATGTTCCACAGACAGCTGCTCTCGCCGCATCCTGAGATCCACACTCAGTGCCATGCGGCATCACATTGACACACTCAACCTTTCTCTCCAACAGCATCGCATCATACTGGCTCAGGGTTACACCATTCCACAGTTCCACTTCATCCTCCGGTTCATTTGCTGTGCTAACACAAAACTTTTCCTCTTCCTTTCAGGCATCAGCCACAAGATGCAACAAGTCAGAGATACACACAGCCCTCTGGAACCTTCCTCTCCTCCCCTTCCCTCTGATTCCGTCCCCTTTCCCAACCCCACCTCCTGTCAGGTATTCACCATCCCTCCTAACCTTCCACTCTCCAATGCTGAACGTTCTGTACTCAGCAAAGGTCTCAGCTTTATTCCTCTGCCCCAACTTTAACAAATTTCAGGCACAACATGACATTGAACTCTTCCTCCCCCGTCTTCGCCCCCATGCCCATTTCTTTCTCCCCGTCCCACAGACCCCTTCGCCCAGTTCCAACACTCTCCCTTCACACGGACCCCTCCCTCTGGCCTTTTACCTGCACTCGATCTGTTCTTTGAGAACTGTTAACAGGATATTGGTTGCCTCAATTTCTCTGCCCACCCCCCCCTCACCAAATCCAACCTATCTCCCTCTTAACTGAGTGCACTCTGTGCGCTTAGATCCAACCCTGACTTTGTAACTAAGCCTGCCGATAAGGGTGGTGCTGTTGTAGTCTGGCCACCTTGCAGTGGCTGAGCACCAACTCGCAGACACCTCCTCCTACCTCCCCCAGACCATGATCCCACCATGGCACATCAGGCCATTGTATCAATTGACCTCAATTTAGCTGGTGATCCCCACTGCCTCCAAGCTGATAGTCCCCGAGCCCCGCACAGCTCACTTCTACCTCCTTCCAAAAATCCACAAACAGGACTGCCCTGGCAGATCCATTGTTTCAGCCTGCTCCTGCCCCACAGAACTTATCTCTTCCTACCTTGGACTCAGTCTTCTCTCCCCTGGTCCAATCCCTGCCCATGTACATCTGTGATTCCTCTGATGTTTTACGCCGATTTCAGAATTTCCAGTTTGCAGGTTCCAGCGCCTCCTCTTTACCATGGACGTGCAATCCCTTTACACCACCTCCACCAGGAGGATCTTACGGCTCTCCGCTTCGTCCTGGAGCAAAGGCCTGAACCATCCTCACGCACCACCACCCTCCTCTGCTTGGCCAAGCTCGTCCTCACCCTCAACAACTTCTCTTTTAACTACTCATTTTCTTCAGGTCAGAGGAGTGGCCATGGGTACCCGCATGGGCTCCAGTTATGCCCGTCTCTTCGTGGGGTATGTGGAACATACCTGGTTCTAGTCCTATTCTGGCCCCCACCCACAATTCTTTCTTCAATATATCGATGGTATCATCGGTGCTGCTTCCCTCTCTTGTCGGAATTGGAAAAGTTAATTGATTTCACCTCCAATTTCCACCCTGCCCTCACTTTCACCTGGTCTGACTCCTCTCTTCCCTTCCTCAACATTTCTGTTTCCATTTCTGGGGATAGACTGGCCACTAATATCCACTGTAAACCCACTGATTCCCACAGCTACCTGGACTATACATCCTCACACCCTGCTTCCTATAAAGACTCTATTCCATCTCCCAGTTCTTCTATCTCCATCAAATCTGTTCTGATGAGGCCAACTTTGACAAAGGGGCCTCTGAAATGTCCACCTTCTTCCTCGACCGAGGACTCCCCAGCATGATTGTCGACAGGGCCCTCAACTGGGTCCGACCCATCTCCCGCACTTCCGCCCTCAACCCCTCACTTCCCTCCCACAACAGCGGTAGGGTTCCCCTTGTCCTTACCTACCATCCCACCAGCAACCACATCCAGAAAATCATCAGGTGCCATTTCCACCACCTCCAGCGAGATGCCACCACCAGACACATATTCCCCTCCCCTCCCTTGTCTGCCTTCCGCAGAGATAGTTCCCTCTGGGACACCCTGGTCCACTTTCCTTCACACACAACATCTCCTACATGGTACCTTTCCTTGCAACCGCCAATGGTCTAACACCTGCCCATGAACCTCCTCTTTCCCCAGCGTCCATGGGCCCAAACATACTTTCCAGGTGAAGCAGCACTTTACCTGCACTTCCCACAATCCAGTCTACTGCATTCGCTGCTCACAATGTGGTCTCCTCTACAAACAAAGTGTAGACTGGGCGACCGCTTCACAGAACATCTACAGTCTGCCTGCAGAAAAGACCCGGAGCTTCCAGTTACCTACCACTTTAACACACCACCCTGTTGCCTGGCCGACATCTCTGTCTCAGGCTTGCTGCAGTGTTCCAGCAAAGCTCAGCGCAAGCTTGGGGACCCTGCAGCCTTCTGGACTCAACAGTGTTCAATAACTTTAGGGTCTAAACTCTCCCATATCATATGTGCCACCCCACACAACAGGTCTTGTTATCACATAGCCTGCCATTATACCCCATCTATTGTTAGTTACTAACAGTCCCCATTAACAGCTATTCACTGTCCTAATCAGATCGTTATCAACTCCTTTCTCTTTCTTTGGGCTCTATCCCCACCTATCGTCTACTCCATACCCCCTCCCCCCACTCTATCTTCTGTATATAACCAACACTTTACTAGCCACCATCAGTTCTGAGGAAGGGTCACTGGGCCTGAAATATTAACTCTGACATTTCTTCATACATGCTGCCAGACCTGCTGAGCTTTTCCAACAACTTTCATTTGACCTGTGCAGTCAATGAGAGGAAACGGCCCAGGCTTGAAGGCAAGAAAATCAAAACTAATCTGCAAAAGTATAATTTAGAGACAGTGTGGTTAAACTGGTTCGGTTGACCTGGACTTCTCAGGAGATGGTGGAAGCAGTTTATAAATGAAAATTACATTGGTTTCTTACAGAATTCAACATTGTCAGGCTGAGAATGCAGTAATTAGAGACACAGCTTGTGGTGAACGTAACATGCTTGGAATCAAAAACTCGGTAACTTTAGTTCTACGTAATAAAAGCAAAATACTGTGGATGCTGGAAATCTGAAATAAGAACAAGTGCTGGAAAACTCAGCAGATCTGCTCGTGTATGTGCAGAGAAAGAAAAACAAAGTTAATGTTTTGAGTCCAGTGACTCTTCTTCAGAAATTTAGATCTATGACTCCCAACATTCTCCAGCAAAGGAGTCTCACACCTGGGGCTGTTGTGGACTAAATCGATAGACTCATCAACAGAGATTGATTAGTCAACAACTAACTTGCACCACATCCTGCAATTCCTGAGATATTGAAAATATTGAACAATATCGACATGGAAATTATTGGATGAAAATGGCTATCTTCCTGAGAGAATGTTTGTGATATCAGGATGTAGGAATTCAACCAACTGTTTGTACCTGTGCTGCTTTATTCGATTTCCACAATTTAACTGACCCCCGCTTCTCCCAGGGTCACCAGGCAAACTTCTGCTCATTACAGTAACTGGCCAACAATCACAAATGTTTATTTATAGATGTCTGCTGTCACATCATTCCAAAGGCTGATGCTTCTCTGCAAAAAGAAACCTACAGTATCTAACCTGGCCCTACATTTACATTCTGTATGTGTGCCATTCCTTGCTAATCTTTCTGCTCACTGCCTTTCATTTGGATTAACATTTTCCATTTTTTTTTCCTATTCATTTGTGGAATGTGGGTGTCACTGGCTGGGGCCAGCATTTATTGCCCATCCCTAATTGCCCTTGAGAAGGTAGTGGTGAGCTGCCTTCTTGAACCGCTGCAGTCCACCTACTGTGGATTGACCCACAATGACATTAGGGAGGGAATTCCAGGATTTTGACCCAGCAACAGTGAAGGAATGGCGATATATTTCCAATTCAGGATGGTGAGTGGCTTGGAGGGGAATTTGGAGGTGGTGGTGTTCCCATGTACCTGCTGCCCTTGTCCTTCTAGATGGAAGTGGTTGTGGGTTTGGAAGGTACTGTCTGAGGATCTTTGGTGAATTTCTGCAGAGCATCTTGTAGATAGTACACACTGCTGTTACTGAGCGTTGGTGGTGGGTGCTTGTAAATGTGGTACCAATCAAGCGAGGGCTGCTTTGTCCTGGATGGTGTCAAACTTCTTGAGTGTTGTTGGGGCCACATTCATCTAAGCAGATAGGGAGTATTCCATCACACTCCTGACTTGTGCCTTGCAGATGGTAGACAGGCTTCCAGGAGTCAGGAGGTGAGTTACTCGCCGCTTCAGTCCTAGACTCTGATCTGCTCTTGTAGCCACTGTGTTTATGTGGCGAGTCCAGCGGAGTTTCTGGTTAATGATAATCCCAGGATGTTGATAGTGGGGAAGTCAGTGATGGTAACAGCATTGAATGTCAAGGAGCAGTGGTTAGGTCGTCTCTTATTGGTGATGATCATAGCCTGGCATTTGTGTGGCGCCAATGTCACTTGCCACTTGTCAGCCCAAGCCTGGATATTGTCCAGATCTTCTTGCATTTGGACACGGATTATTATCCAGATTTTGTTGCATGTGAACATCGACTGCTTCAGTGTGAGGAGTCGTGCATGGTGCTGAACATTGTGCAATCATTGGCGAACATCCCCACTTCTGACCTTATGAGGGACGGAAGGTCATTAATGAAGCAGCTGAAGATTGTTGGGCTGAGGACACTACCCAGAGGAACTCCTGCAGAGATGTCCAGGAGCTGAGATGATTGACCTCCCACAACCACAACCATCTTCCTATGTGTCAGGTATGACTCCAACCACCAGATAGTTTGCCCCCCTAATACCCATTGATTCCAGTTTTGCTCAGGGGCCTTGATGCCACACTCATTTGAATGCAGCCTTGATTTTAAGGACTGTCACTCTCACCTCACTCTAGAATTCAGCTCTTTGTCCATGTTTGAACCAAGGCTGTAATGAGGTCAGGAGCTGAATGGCCCTGGCAGAACCCAAACTGGGCGTCACTGAGCAGGTTATTGCTGAGTGGGTGCTGCTTGATAGCGCTGTTGATGACACATTCAATCACTTTACTGATGAGTATACTTTAGAAAGTGTTAAATCAAATTCATGCAATGTCCATGTTTTTCTCAGATAAAAGCCGATTTCAGTAAGAGGAGAGCTCTCAAACTAAATATTAGTCCAATCTGTCTTGAAGAAGAATCATGTTAGACCCAGAAGGTCACTCTCTCCATGACTGCTGTCAAACCTGGTGAGTTTCTCCAACACTTCTTGGCTTTACTTCGATCCAGTAGCTCTCCTCTGAACATATAACAAGACTCTACATCAGTGGGAATGTGAGGAGAATAGTCAGTTATCAATTATAAACAGCTGTGTCAGTATGGGGTACATCATGAAAATAGGCGTTTAGTGCGAATGGAATAATACATTGTGAAACTATCACCGCATTTACCGTACAATAACTTGCATTTAAATTGTACCAACAATACAATGTACCAAGGCACTCCATAGGAATGTTACCCCAAATAAAGTGCAACGTTGAACTACAAGTGAGATACTTAGGCAGGTGACAAAAGCTCGGTCAAAGAAGTAAACGTTAAGAGCCACTTTAAAGTAGAAGTGGGAGGTAGGGTGTTAGAGGTTTAGGGATGGGAATCCAGGCTTTAGAGTTTTGGCAACTGAAGCCACTGGTGGAACAATTTGCAATTTGGTACTGCTGGCTCTTGGACGTACCAACATTCAGATAAAATGGCAAAACCATGAATGTGAAGTATCTCAGGTGGTGATAAAAGGTCCATGGTATCCTGATCAATTTTTAACCATCAACTGACAACACCACAGCAGGACATCTAGTTGTTAATCTCATTTTTAATGTGTTTGTGGAAACTTGCTATGTTCAAACTGTCTGTTGTTTCCTTTATTAAAACAAAATTGTGTTATTTGTGGAAGTCTTGCTATCTTCCATTATACTTACGGTAGCTTACCCTTGATGTCGAAATTCTTCCCAGTTGGTGAATACGCAGGAGCACACTGAAAGAAAAATAATTCTTTATAAACAGCAACCTTTACAGTGCTTCCAAAGCCACGGTGTGGGGGTTGGTGGTGGTGGCGGGAGCGCGTCAGTTGGGGGACCAAGACAGAACAAAAACTAGTGCAAGAGAGAAAGAGTGAGCTATAACCTAGTTGTATTAATACTGGGCTATTAAGCCAGAGACCCAGGTAATGCTCTGGGGATCCAGGTTCAAATCCCGCCAGGGCAGACTGTGGAATTTTAATTCAATAAATATCTGGAATTAAGAGTCTAATGATGACCGTTAAACCATTGCCAACTGTCAGAAAATCCCATCTGGTTTGCTAATGTCCCTTAGTGACAGAAATCTGCATTCCTTAATTAATCTGGCCTACATGTGACTCCAAACCCAGAGCAATGCAGTTGACTCTGACATGACCTCTGGGTACTTCGGGATGGGCAACAAATGCTGGCCTAACCAGTGATGTCCTCATCCCTAATTAAAAGCTTCTGCAACATGGCCCTTGTGAACTCTGCTCAAAATACTACTGGCGTTTAGTGAGATACAGAGATAATACATACTCTAACAGGTAGGCTTGACTTTTGGTTAAGTAATCATGGTCAACAGAAATGATAAGAGATGGATCTATTTCCTACACAATATAGCTTCTAAAATAATTACACTGCAGTGTCCTCTAAGAAGTATTGAATCTTCCTGGCTCCTGCCAGATTTCCTGTCCCTCGCTCCAATGGTCACTCTTCATCCTGTATGCTCTTTTGGCCACAGTATTTATGGGGCAAGTTCAGTTCAGTTTCTGGTCAATGGTAATATCCAGGATTGAAAGTGGGGGATTCAACAATGGCACCATTGAATATCAACCGGCAATTTTTAGATTCTCTCTTGTTAGAAACAGTCACTGCTTGCCACGTGTGTGGCCCAAATGTTTGCAATTTGCTAAGCCTGGACATTGTCCAGGTCTTTCTGCAAATGTTTTTGTGTTAGCTGCCATACTCTCGTCCCTAATTTTTTCCATTTTCCCTTTGAACTTTCTATAGTTAGCCTGATTCTAGTCATTTTATTACCCTGATCACTGCGATACATCTCCTTTATCTGCTTAATCTTAATCTTATTCTCTCTCTCTCTCTCGCATCCAAGGAGTTCTAGATCTCTTTGTCTGACTTCTCTGTTTGGAGATGTACCTTGACAGAATCCAAACCATCTCCTCTTTAAAGGCAGTACATTCTTCCATTGCCAGTTGCTGACTCCAATTTCTATTCACACTCCGATGAAATTCAGCCCTTCCTGCTAACTACTTTTTCTCTAGTTTGCTCTTTGTCCTTTTCAATATTTAATCTAAACCTTACTGTTCCCTAAACATTCATTACACATTCACCTCAAGGCGCGAACCACCTCATTCCCCAAACCAGATCCAGAAATACCTCCATGTTTCTTGAGCCAGGAACACATTTCAGAATGTCCTCCCTTTGCCTGCCCTTTACAATATTACTCTCCAGTCCATATTGACAGCATTGAAGTTTCCTTGTAAAACTACTGTGTAGTTTTTACACGTCTTGCACATCATCTACGGCCATCAACAAATGTGAAGAACAATAAATAAACTGAACAGTCTAACAGTTAGACCTCACTACACACAGTTGTTCTCCATACAGCTTGATTAGACTGCACTTGAACTACAGTACACGAGTACAGAGGCACCAGGTAAAGTGAGAAAGAGGTTTGCAAGGAATATGGTAGACTGACAGGTTACAACAACTCTGAATAGGCAAGAATCTTTCCTCCAGAAAAGTAAAGGCTGCAAGATGACCATTAAGGAACTTTAAACTACAAGGGGCATGATAGGGCAGATATAAAGAGCACCATAACTAGGGAGCGATAAATATCAGGAAGTCACTAATAAATTCAATCAGGAATTCAGGAATAATTGCTTTATCCAGAGTGGTAAGACTTATGGAATTGCTACCCCCGTGAATGACTGAGGTGATTAGCAAAAGGGGAGCTAACATGAGACAGAATGAACGAGAAGGACAGAATTGGACCGAGTAAGGTGGTAGAAAGCTCATGTGGAGCATGAACATCAGCATGGAGCAGTAAGGCTGGTTTCTATAGTATAAAACGCTATGAATATTGTCCATATTACAAGGCAACAATCATCCTTTTACCACTTCTGAAAAAGAGTTATACTGGAATCAAAATATTAACTCTGTTTTTCTCTTTCTGCAGATGTTGCCAGACCTCAGAATCATAGACCTCCTACAGTGTGGAAGAAAGCCGTCTGGTCCGTCGAGTCCACACCAATCCTCCGAAGAGCATTCCACCCAGACACACTCCATCCTTGTAACCCAGTATTTCCCATGGCCAATTCACCTAACCTGCACATCTTTGGACCAAAGGGGGAAACCAGAGCACCCACAGAAAACTCATCCAGACCCAGGGAGAATGTGCAAACTCCATGCAGACAGTCATCCAGGAGTGGAATCGAGGCAGCAGTGCTAACCGCTGTGCCACTCCACTGCAACATTCTGTGTTTGTATTTTTGACCTGGATTGTGCAGCTTTTGGAACAGAGGAATTGCATGCAGTACCTTAGTGGCATCATCTGACAGCACCTCCATCAAGATATCAGGCACCAACTCATCTTGAAGCATCTCCAAAATGAATGAATTGACAAAGTTCCAGGCAAACGAATGGCCTTCCCTGATGAAACTGGATGTTGGATGTTCCTACGAGATGATCAGATGGGATAAAGTCACACAGCTGAAAAGACACATCAGTGCTGTGTGAGGATCATACAAAGTGGCAGTTCTCCCTGTTCCCCACTACCACTCCTCCTCTCCACAAATCTTGCCATTGCGTGACTGTGATGTGGCAGAGGGACCCCACAACCCAATCATTGCCAAAGAGAGAAGGACCCCTTCTCCTGGGTACTCTACCCCAGCAAATGGGTCAGCATAGATAATGATAACAAGCCTGAAGTAGAATGCCTCTCCGCTGGTCAAGGGAATGCTCCAAAGGTTTAAAGAGGCATAAAATACATATTCCTGAAGTTGTACTTTGCACACCTATAACAGCTGTGTGTGTGTGTGTGTGTGTGTGTGTGTGTGTATCTGCTTCTTTATTCTCTGCAGCTGTCTCCTGGGGCACGATATAAGAGGCAGGATAATTCTTCTTGAGATAAGCAAACTCAGTATTGACCGGGAACAGAAACCCTTTACTCTCTTACCTGAAACCCTGAGCTATGGCCCCCAGTTCCTGCTGACCCCTTCTTATTGCCTTTATGTTCTTGTTGTCTCATTGAGGAACCGTTCTGAAAATAAATACAGACAATTTCAAACAAACAGTCTTGCTTCTCTCCCTGGTACTTCCAGATTTAGGCAATTAAGGACTGTACGATCCCACGGGCAGCATGTGAATCTGGTTTTTGTCATGTTCGTTGAGAAAGGACTGTTGACCGGGACTAGGACAGTTTCCTGATCTTCTTTAGGCAATACCATGAGATCCTATTCCCTTGCTATTTCACTGCAATTTTAATTCACAAGCTGATCTGGAGAGATTGTGGTAAGTGGTAATGTTAATGGACTAATAATCTCAGGGAACTGCTCTGAAAGTATGAGACCTGGTTCGAATCCTGTCAACGGCAACTGGCGAAATTTAAATTCAACCTAAGAATCTGCAGAAACAGCCAATGTATTGATTATGATCTCCTGAAATTTCTAGATTCGGGAAAGGTCCCAGTGGATTGAAATATCTCAAATATGACACTTCTATCCAAGAAAGCAGCAAGATATAAAACAGGCAACTACAGGCCAGTTAGACGAATATTTGTTATAGACTGACTGAATGGCAGCTAAATTTGCTGATGACACTAAGTTAAGTAGGAAAATAGGTTATAAAGAACCTACAAAAGACTAAGAAACTAAACAGGAAGGATTCTGAGTGGATGTTTCCCTTGGGGGCTGGGGTGGGGTGTTGTCTGGAATTTGGGGATACAGTTTAAAAATTAGGGGTCTCTATTTAACACCAAGATGAGGATTCTCTCCTCTCTCAGAGAGTCATTATTGTGTGAAATTCTCCTCCGACAACATTAGGAGTTGGATCATTCAAACTCTGCCTTGAGTGTATTCATCAATTCTTGACTGATTAGGGAGTCTGGGATTATGGAGACAGGGAGTAAAGTGGAGTTGAGGCCACAATTAGATCAGCCATGATTATATCAAATGGTAGAGCACGTTACAGGTGCCAAATGATCGACACCTGCTCCTTATGTTCTTATGTGATCCTGAACAGGCCTAATCAAGCCATGCTACTTTAAAATTCAGGGTTGTTTGGGGATTGCTCAAAAGCTTTGCTCAGGAATAAGATTTGCACTAGGTATTGGGATCAGTTTATGAAAATAAAATCAATCTTTGGAGTTGTGCATGAAATGTGAAAGATTGCCAGAAACGATAGAAGATTTTGTCCCTGGTTCAGTACTTCAGCCAGATTAGGTAAACTCTTTGTTTGTGCTTCAGTGGAGGCCAGGCAGAACACAGATTGCAATGCTAATTCTGTGTGCAGAATTGGTAAAAATGTCATATATAATAATTAGTTACTTTAACTTCATTGGCTGCAAATTACAGTCAGTGCTGCTCTTGCACAAATACTTAATGCATCTTTGCTAAATTTTACTGTGCACTATTTTAATGCAGGTGTTGAGCTTTGTGGTAAATAACTGGTTCTGAATGGGAATAAACATAAGAAACAGATGTCACTGTGGTTCAGGAGCAGCATACTCTCCACTCAGAGATTTCTAGGTCAAGTCTCACTCAAGGACTGTGCTCTCAGATATGATTATAAACTGAAACCTTGTCAGCAGGATATAATAAAACTGCAATATCTGAAGACTATCTGGAGAGCTCTCTCTGCTAAGTTGTGAAAATATATCCCTTCAACAACCCCAATAAAGCAGAGTACTGTAAAGCAGGTAGTCTGCTGTGTTTCCTGCATCACAACAGTGATCACAGTTTCGAGACTTCACTGGCAGTAAAGCATTTTACCACATTCTCAGATCATACAGAAATATAAGCTCTCTTTTTCATTCTTAAGCATTTGAACAAGAACTCAAAGAAAATTGGATCTGCATCTGAAATGCTGTAAACTGCAAAGCTACAAACTTGGTGCAGGGAAGTTGGGTTAGAGTGGATGGCTAGTTTATTCAGCTAGTATAGACACAATGGGCTGAAAGGCCTGGCAAAGAAAAGGAGAACATTGGATTGAAGAATCTCCTTTCTCAGAAAATAAAATGCAACAAAATGTGTTCAGAAAACAGATAGACATAAATCCCAAACTCGCTCTTCTGGTGGATTCATACCTCCAATGGGAGATCAGAGGAAAGAATCGTGGCAGCATCTGGAACACTGGAAGGTTTTCGTTGACCGAGTGGCTGCTTCCTCAGAGTTTCTTTGCTGTTTGAAGGACAGACCAATGGTAAACAAACGACTGAGATTGTACATTACCATAATACAGCCTGGCATTAGAGTGATAATGCATTGATATCAACTGTGACAAAAATTACAACATTCCTTCCTGACCAAACATCAATAAAAAACTGGTTAACTAATCATTTAGTTCACTGCTGTTTGTGGGTTTGCAAAATGCTGTAACATTTCATACAAAGTAAAGTAATAGCCGTGATGCTTCAAGGTCATTCAGTTGACGTCACATACTTTATCCATTCTGAATGTTACACAGGTCACAGAGACAGTCATGCTGTCATTGTTAGATTCAGGGAAGGTTCTGTGTTCTTCTGACAAAACCCATTAAAGTTCGGAGAGTTAAAGAAAACTTTCTCAATAATAAGTGTTCACCTTTGGATCTATCCGGAGATACACTGGGTAATTTAGGGATTTATTGATACAAACACAGTGTAGTAACTGCTATGACACAGGACTAAAATATTTCCCTAGGTGACTGAAGCCAAAAATTTTAAGGTGCTACAGGTAGTAAATCTTATTTCAGGCAAAATCTTCTCATATTCAGCTATTATTTTAACAGCAGTTTCTTAATAATTTAAACTAAGCGCTCATTCCACTTACTTGTCATTGGGCTTTCCAGTGAACAGTGGAGGGACCATTAGGTGGGAAATCCGTCTGAGATCGGTGTGGAGCCTGTAATCAACAACCTGGGTTAGCAAGGTAGTGCAGAGGAGGAAATGATCCCCCAGCTAATTCCAGGAAAGCAACAGAGAATATACAATATCCTACAACACAGAGGAAGGAGGTACAAGAAGTGGGTAAGGGCCAGGGGAAGAACAGGGCAGGAGCAGAGGGGAATGGGACTGTGCAGAAGGCCACCATTTACAAAACTGTTCCGAGTACCATGAAGATGCCTGGGAGCAGTTCTGCATCTCACTTCTACATTCTTGGGGATGTTGAGCTCTCTGCAGGTTTTTTTAAAGTCAAGCTGATGATCAGTATGCTGCACTTGCACAGGCAGATTCCTATTGGTTTGTCACTGGATGAAACACTGCAGAATCTTGATGTGTATTCCCCTGACTTTATAAAATGAAGTACTGTTTAAAACAGTGAAAGGACTGGATAGGGGAGGTGGACTTCTCTTCTAAATGAGAGAATTCACCCAACATGTTCAATAACTCAGATAATGTAGTCTGTTTCTCTAGCTGGTATTTAAAGAAACACTACAAAGGTATACAACAGATACACATTCATTTAAAGCATAAAAACCCACACGGAAGGGTGAATCAACCATTGTTAATAAAAAGTTCAGGATCGCATTGGATCAAAGGAAGTGGCTTATCAGAAACAGTGGTAAATCTGAAGCACTGAGAGCCAAGGAACACAGAGAAACAGATTCTGAAAGGGAGAACAGAATATGAATGCAAGTTGAAGAGGAATGATAAATGCAGACTGTCTATCAATATGTGAAAGGAATGATAGCAAGAATAAACATGAGCATGTTACAGGAAGTGATAGGAGAATTCATAGCAAAGAACAGGCAAGTGGCAGAGAAACTAAACATCTTACTTTTCTGGAAATCTGAAACAAAAAACTTAAAATTGCTGCAGAAACCGAGCAGGTCTGGCAGCTTCTGTGAAGACAGAAAGAGAGTTAATGTTTTGGGTCACAGAAGAAGGCAGAAAATCCTCTAAGGAACACAAGGTGGCTAAGCAACTTCGAATATAAGATACAGGAGCAAAATTAGAACATTCGGCCCAGAATCTGCTCCATCATGTTATCATGGCTGATATGTTTCTCAACCCCATTCTCTTGCCTTCTCCCCATAACCTTTAATCCCATTACTAATCAAGGACCTATCTATCTCTGTCTTAAATACACTCAATGACTTGGTCTCCACAGCCCTCTGCTGCAATGAATTCCACAGATTCACCTCCCTCTGGCTGAAGAAATTCCTCCTCATCTCAGTTCTAAAGGGTTGTCCCTTCACTCTGAGGCTGTACCCTCAGGTCCTAGTTTCTCTTACCAGTGGAAACATATTCTCCAAGTCCACTCTATCCAGGCTTTTCAGTATTCTAAAAGTTTGAATCAGATTCCCCCTCATCCTTCTAAACTCCATCAACTACAAATTCAGAGTCCTCAACCACTCCTCATATGACAATGTCCTTTAAAGAAGGAAATCTGCCACCCTCACCTAGTCTGGCCCACGTGACTCCAGACCCACTGCAATGTGGGTGACACTCAAGCACCCTCTGAAATGGCCTAGCAAGCCATTCAGTTGGACCAATTGCTACAAGGACTCAAAGAAATGAAACAGGACTGATCACCTGGCATCGACCTAGGCACCGGAAAAGACAAACAGCAGAAACAGCCCGGTCGACCCTGCAAAGACCTCCTCACTAACATCTGGGGGTTAGTGCCAAAAATTGGGAGAGCTGTCTCACAGACTAGTCAAGCAACAGCCTGACATAGTCATACTCACAGAATCATACCTTACAGACAATGTCCCAGACACCACCATCACCATCCTTGGATATGTCCTGTCCCACCGGCAGGACAGACCCAGTAGAGGGGGTGGCACAGTGGGATACAGTCGGGAGGGAGTTGGTCTGGGAGTCCTCAACATTGACTCCGAACCCCATGAAGTCCGATGGTTTCAGGTTAAACATGGGAAAGGAAACCTCCTGCTGATTACCACATACCATCCTCCCTCAGCTGATGAATTAATAATCCTCAATGTTGAACAACACTTGGAGGAAAGACGGAGGATGGCAAGGGCACAAAATGTACTCTGGGTGGGGGAGAGTGGCTCGGCAGCAGCATTACTGATCGAGCTGGTCGGGTCCTAAAGGACATAGCCGCTAGACTGGGTCTGCGGCAGGTGGTCAGGGAACCAAGAGGGAAAAGCATACTTGACCTCATCCTTACTAATCTGCCAGCTGCAGATGCATCTGTCCATGACAGTATCAGTAAGAGTGACCATTGCACAGTCCTTGTGGAGAAGAAGTCCCGCCTTCACATTGAGAACAACCTCCGTCGTGTTGTGTGGCACTATCACCGTGCTAAATGGGACAGGCTTCACACAGATCTAGCAACTCAAGACTGGGCATCCATGAGGTGCTGTGGGCCATCAACAGCACCAGAATTGTACTCCAGCACAATCTGTAACCTCATGGCCCGGCACATTCCCTAATCAACCATTACCATCAACTCTAGTTCAATGGAGAGTGCAGGAGGGCATGCCAGGAGCAGCACCAGGCATAGCTGAAGATGTGGTATCATACTGGTAAAGCCACCAAACAGGATTACTTGCACGCCAAACAGCGAACGCAGCAAGTGATACACAGAGCTAAGTGATCCCACAATCAACGGAGTAGATCTAAGCTCTGCAGTCCTGCCACATCCAGTCGTGAATGGTAGAGGATGATTAAACAACTCACTGAAGGAGGAGGCTCCACAAACATCCCCATCCTCAAAGATGGAGAAGCCCAGCACATGAGCGCAAAAGATAAGGCTGAAACTTTTGCAGCAATCTTCAGCCAGAAATGCTGAGTGGATTATCCATCTCAGCCTCCTCCAGTGGTCCCCAGCATTACTGATACCAGTCTTCAGCTAATTTGATTCACTCCACATGATACCAACAAACGGTTGGAGACACTGGATATTGCAAAGGCTACGGGCCCTGACAACATCCCAGCAATAGTACTGAAGACTTGTGCTCCAGAACTTGCCACTCCCTTAGCCAAGCTGTTTCAGTACAGTTACAACACTGGTATCTATCCAACAATGTGGAAAATTGCCCACAAATGTCCTGTCCACAAAAAGCAGGACAAATCCAAACCGGCCAATTACCGCCCCATCAGTCTACTCTTGATCATCAGTAACGTGATGGAAGGTGTCATCAACAGTGCTATCAAGCAGCACCTGCTCAGCAATAACTTGCTCAGTGACGACCAGTCTGGGTTCTGCTAGGGCCTCTCAGCTCCTAACCTCATTACAGCCTTGGTTCACACATGGGCAGAAGAGCTGAATTCCAGAGATGAGATGAGAGTGACAGTCTTTGACATTAAGGCTGCATTTGACGGAGTGTGGCATCAAGGACCCTGAGCAAAACTGGAATCAATGAGTATCAGGGGGCAAACTCTTTGGTCACTGGAGTCATACCTGACACATAGGAAGATGGTCGTGGTTGTTGGTGGTCAATCATCTCCGTTCCAAGACATCTCTGCAGAAGCTCGTCAGGGTAGTGTCCTCGGCCCAACCATCTTCAGTTGCTTCATCAATGACCTTCCCTCCATCATAAGGTGAGAGGTGGGGATGTTCACCAATGATTGCACAATGGTCAGCACCATTCGCGACTCCTCAGATACTGAAGCAGTCCGTGTCTAAATGCAACAAGATCTGGACAATATCCAAGCTTGGGTTGACAAGTGGCAAGTGACATTGGTGCCACACGAATGCCAGGCTATGACGATCACCAATAAGAGACAATCTAACCACCATCCCTTGACATTCAATGGTGTTACCATCACTGAATCCCCCACTATCAACATCCTGGGGGTTACCATTGACCAGAAACTCAACTGGACTCACCACATTAACACAGTGTCTACAAAAATAGATGAGGCTAGGAATACTGAGGTGAGTAACTCACATTCTGACTCCTTAAAGCCTGTCCACCATCTACAAGGCACAAATCAGGAGTGTGATGGAATACTCCCCACTTGCCTGGATGAGTGCAGCCCCAACAACACTCAACAAGTTTGACACCATCCAGGACAAAGCAGCCCCCGCGTGATTGGCACCACATCCACAAACATTCACTCCCTCCACCACCGATGTTCAGTAGCAGCAGTGTGTGCTATCTACAAGATGCTCTGCAGAAATTCACCAAATATCCTCAGATAGCACCTTTCAAACCCATGACCACTTCCATCTAGAAGGACAAGGGCAGCAGATATATGAGAACACCACCATCTTCAAGTTCCCCTCCAAGCCATTCACCATCCTGACTTGGAAATATATCGCTGTTCTTTCTCTGTCACTGGGTCAAAATCCTGGAATTCCCTTCCTAAGGGCATTGTGGATCAACCCACAGCAAGTGGACTGTAGCAGTTCAAGAAGGCAACTCAGCACCACCTTCTCATGGGCAACTAGGGATAAACAATAAGTGCTGACCCAGCCAGCGACACCCACACCCCACAAAAATAAAAAGGCCCTTCATCCCTGGGGTCATTCTTATAAATCTCTCCTGAACCCCTCCAACTCCAGCACACCCTTCCTTAAATTCCAGGCCAAAACTTGCTCACAATATTCCTAATGCAGTCTGACCAGAGCCTGATACAGCCTCAGCAGTGCACCCCTGCTCTTATAAGCCCCTTAAGATGTACGCTAACACTGTAATTGCCTTCCTAACTGCCAACTGAACCTGCATGTTAACCTTAAGAGAATCCTGAACTACTACTCCAAAGGCCCTTTGTGCTTTGGGTTTCTGAAGCCTTTCTCCAATTACGAAATAGTCTCTGCCTTTATTCTTCCTATCAAAGTGCATAACCTCACACTTTCCTACATTGTATTCCATCTGTCACATCTTTGACTACTCTCATAGCCCATCTAAGTCCTTCTGCAGCCTCCCCGCCTCTTCAACTCCACCTGTCCCTCCACCTATCTTTGTGTCATCTACAAACTTAGCAACAATGCCCTCAGCTTCTTTGTCCAGATCGATAATGGATAACACGAATAGGTGTGGTCCCAACACTGGCCCCTGCAGAACTCCACTAGGCACCAGGTGCCATCCTGAAAAAGATCCCTTTATTCCAACTTTGTCTTCTGCCAGTCAGCCAATCCTCAATCAGTTACTTGTGGAAAAGAACAGCAAAATGTAAAAAAGGTAGTACTTGAAAAGTTAGGTGGATTGAGGGTTCATAAATCTCTCGGACCGGTGTTGAAGGAGGTATTAATAGATAGTGTGTGCATTGGTGAGTATCTTTCATGAATCTATAGATTCTCTAACCTGCAAACTGGAAGGTAGCGAATGTAATCCCACTATTTAAGAAGGGAGGAAGCATGAGAACAATGATTAACAAACTACTACAAATAATTACTGTGAGTGTGACACCCAAAGCTGGGAAATGTTAGAATCTATTATAAAAGGAAGTGAAAGCTGAAAAGTATGGTAAAGTTGAGCAGAATCAACATGGGTTTATAAAAGAGCAATCATTGGGAATTCTGGAGAGATCAGGGTGTCTTCGCCCATGAGTCACTAAAAGCTAGCATTCAGTTGGAGTTGGAAATTGTAAGGTGCACGGTACGCCGGCCTTCATTTCCAGAGACTTCACCTGGACTACTGAGGACAGTTCTGGTCTTCTTGTACAAGGGAGGATATTGTTGCTGTGGATGGAGTGCAACTGAGGTTCATCAGATGAAACTTTAGGATGGCAGGATTGTCTTGAGGAGAGATTTAAGAGTCTGGGACTTTTCAAAGAATGAGAGGTGACTTTATTGAAACTTTCAAAATTCTTAGAAAACATGACAGAATGTACATATTTATGATGCTTTCCCTGCTTAGTGTCTAGAACCAGGGGACAGAACCTCAGGATGAAGGGTGGACCATTTAAGAATGATATGAGGTGGAATTTCTTCACTTAGAGGGCTGTGCAGCTCAAATCTGATTGGTTTCTGGAGATTAATGACATTAATGAATATGGAAATAGTGTGAGAAATGACATGGTGGCAGTGATCAGACACGATCTAAAATGGCTGGGGTGGTTTGATGGACTGAATGGCCTCGTCCTGTTTCTTTGTTGCACAGGAAGTGGTAAACAGAAGCTGCTGAGTTAAGGGTCACTGGACTTGAAATGTTAACTCTGTTTCTCTCTCCATAGATTTCCTATTATTGTTTGAAAAGCAGCTTACCTGGGCAGGTTCGATGGGGAGTGCACCATCCGTCTGTCACGCTGACTGGTTAAATGGACACGAAGCGGAGGATCACTAGGCACAAGGTTACCCCATTCTGCCCGTGGAATCAAACCAAGCTGCTGTCGAACACGATTCAAACTGCAGAAAAACAGACAATTTGTTCAGAACCTGCCCCAGGAATAATAGCCTGAGGAACCTCAACTCAGTGATAGCACACTCACCATGTCAGGTCACAGGCTGGAGTCCTACTCTAAAAGCTTGTGCACAAAACGTAGGCTAATGTTCCCAGTGTAGTAGCAATGCTGTGTTGCACCATTAGATGTGATGTAAAATGAAGGTCCTGTCTGCCCTCTCAAGTGGCCATAAAATGTTCCATGATACTATTCAAACAGAAGGGAGTTCCTTCTAGTGGCATAGTTGACATTTCTCCATCAACCAATACCAAAAAAGATATTATCTGGTTATTGTCAAGTTCATGTTAATGTGACATTGCCACACACAAATTGGCTTCTATGGTTCCTACATTACAGTAGTCAAGACTCTTCAAAAAAGTATTTGATTGGCTGCAAAATGATTTGTGAAATCCTGAGGTTGAGACAGGTGCTACCAAAAAGTAAATGTTTTCTTAAAAAAAGTCAACAAGTTGCCACAAACAGCTTCGATAAATAATGATGAGTGAAAATGCAATGACAAGGAAATTTGAAGACCTAAAGGAACTGAATATTTTAAAAGGTCTGAGAATGTTCCAGATCTGATATTTCTTCTCAACATTGCTGAGAAATTTCACAGAATAATTGCAAACTGAAGGAGTCCACTAAAGTCCTCAGCATTCAAATATCAGAGGAGGCCTGCAAGACTGGTCATTGCAGTGCTCTCTCCCTGTGACCTAAAGCAAGGAGTAGCAGGTGAAAAGAGGAGCTTTACCAGGCAGTTTGCACTTACGTTCCTTCCCTTCATAATGGTGAGGCACTCTCTTTCTACTTACTATTAGCATTGTTGGGTCTGTGTTGGCTCTAGATTAAGTTGCAAGAAAGAAACAGCAGTACTGACAACATTTTGCAATGTTTAACTTCTGCAGGAAACTAAATGTGGCTGTCAGCTAAATGCCAAGGTAGCAAGGGAGTAAAAGGAAACACTTTGTAAAGAAAGGACGAGTGAAAAGGTAATTCAAATGAAAGCAAAATAATGAGGATGCAGGAAATCTGAAATATAGGGAAAATATGCTGGAGAACCTCAGCAAGCCTGGCATCATCTGTGGAGAGAGAGACAGAGAGATAACAGTGAGTCCAGTAGGACTCCTTTTCTTCAGAACCAGACTAAAACCTGAATTCTGTTTCTTTCTCCACAGATGGTGATAGACTTACTTTTATTAGTTCAAGTGAAGGAGCCAACTGGTGGTGTCCTACAGACCTCATTAGATTAAAAACTACAACGAGCCACTAAAAGTAGACTAAAAACTTCCAAGTCATTAAAAAGAACTGGATCTAGAACGTAGGCGTCTAACCAAATAAACAAATATTTAACTCTTACAAATAATATTGTGAAGGGATTACTTCGACAAGGGAAGTTTTTTTAAAAAATTGTATCTATAGAAATGAGGGATTTCAATTTTGGAATACACAGTATTGCACTACTCATATCCTGCCAAGGTCCAAAACAGTCAGGCTATTTACAAGGTTGCTGGAATGCAGGACAAAATTCCAGCTTCACAAGACGCTGTAACTAGCCCACAGACATGTGGAGAAGAGGGGAGAGGAGGGAGAGTTTGTGTCTGTTACCTGATGGGAGTTGGGGAAGTGGAATATGGATGAGAATGCTCACAACACAAAACTGTTCTAGACACATGCGATCACATTCAGAAGCAGCATTGTCCCATGAACCATTACTGCCATTTGTGATAACACCTAGATGTTGCAGTAAATTATTTTCCATGCTACAAAGACTGCACTTTTTATGAAATTAAAACGAAGTGCTGGAAATACTTAGGTTTACTAGACAGATGCTGTCAGATCTGCTGTGTCCTTTAGTTGTGGACTCCTCTATCCTAGAGGAAACACCTTGGCTATTCATCCTATCCATGCCCCTCCTGATTTTATAAAACTCTACAGGCTCACCCCTCAGCTTCTGACACTCCAGGGAAAATTGCCCCAGCCTATGCAGCCTCTCCCTGTAGCTCAAACTCTCCAATCCCAGCAACATCCCTGTAAACAAAAAACAAAAAATTGCTGGAAAGCTCAGCAGGTCTGGCAGCATCCATGAAGAGATCAGAGTTAACGTTTCGGGTCTGGTGACCCTTCCTCAGAACCATTCTGAGGAAGGGTCACTGGACCTGAAATGTTAACGCTGATTTCTCTTTACAGATGCTGCCAGACCTGCTCAGCTCTTCCAGCAACTTTTTTTTTGTTTCTGATTTACCGTATCCACAGCTCTAATGGTTAACATCCTTGTCAATCTTTTCTGAACCCTTTCAGGTTTCACACATCTTTCCCATAGCAGGGAGACCAGAATTGAATGCAGTATTCCAAAAGTGGCTTAACCAATATCCTGTACAGCTGCAACATGATCTCCCAACTCCTATACTCAATGTACTGACTAATAAAGGCAAGTGTACCAAATGCCTTCTTGACCACTCTGTCTACCTGTGACTCCACCTCCAAGGAACAATGAACCTGCAAGCCAAAGTCTCTTTGTTCGGCAACACTCCTCAGGACCTTACCATCAAGTGCATGAGTCTTGCCCTGATTTGCCTTTCCAAAATGCATCACAGCTAAATGAAGTTCCATCTGCCACTCGTTGGCTAATTGGCTCATTTGATCAAGGTCCCGCTGTACTGAGAAAACCTTGTTCTAAGGAAATTGTGTTCAACTCAAAGTTAACTCCGTTGTTTTCTTCGCAGCTTCTGCCAGACCTGCTGAGTTTCTCTACAGCTTCCTGATTGTATTTCAGACAAGTGCTACATCTTTGAAGAAAAAAAATCAGAGTTAATGTAATGGATCTGGTGACCCTTCCTCAGGGTGTTCTGAGGAAGGGTGACCGGACCTGAAACATTAACTCTGAAATTCTTCTTCACAGATGCTGCCAGACCTGCTGAGCTTTTCCAGCAACCTTTGTTTTTGTTTCTGATTTACAGCATCTGCAGTTCTTTCGGTTTTTAGTAAGTGCCATATCTTTGTTTTATTTAAGTACTTAACTTTACCTTTCCTGTAGATCAGTCCAGTTTTTCTCAGTTTTATAAGATGCCATGAATCACAGTTTCAAATCCTAGTGGAAACAAATACCAGATTAACTAATTAACTAAAAAATAAGTTCACCACACAGCACAATCCTATTAAACACTGATCACTTTTCATGGATGTCCCTGGCAATGACAGTACTTATGGCCCACCTTAGTTGTCATGAGAAAGTAATATTGAACCTTCTTCTTTCGAATTTTGTTCTCACGAGCAGCCAGCTTTTACAATACATTGTCAGGCTCACATAGTATTGATGTCAGAACAAGACAGATCAGGTAACTTCCAGGCTGCCTGACAACTTCGCCCACATGCCCTGTAGCAGGAAGATCAGTCACAAGTTCAAGCATTTTGACACAGCAGCAATTAAGCAGCTTTCATATGGCTGCAAGTGTGTAATGAAGGTGGTAATTTACATTCATAAAGCAACTTTCACACGGCAATGGTTCCAAGGCGACAGGAACATAATCAGGATCAGAGGAGCAGGAACGTTGACGTTTCGGGCCTAGACCCAAGGGTTTAGGCCCGAAACGTCAGCCTTCCTGCTCCTCTGATGCTGCTTGGCCTGCTGTGTTCATCCAGCTTTACACCTTGTTATCTCAGATTCTCCAGCATCTGCAGTTCCTACTATCTTTGAAACAATTTTAACCCCATTGCGAAGCTTCTTCTAAGGATGCCTCCCTGAAGAAGTTACCCTCCTCCCTCCGGAAAAACCTCAGTGGATCTCTCTCCCACTGCAACTCTCTCGTATTCTCTTCGGCCTTGAAACTGCTCGACCACGTCCTGAAGCAAACCAGGTACTACAGCCACATCACCTTTCTTAGTACCTACCTACGGAACCAGATCATCCCCAATGGACTACAGTCCACATTCAGGCCTTCCCAATTTGGCAAAGCATTTCGGAAGAAGGGTCTAGGCCCGAAACGTCAGCCTTCCTGCTCCTCTGATGCTGTTTGGCCTGCTGTGTTCATCCAGCTTTACACCTTGTTATCTCAGATTCTCCAGCATCTGCAGTTCCTACTATCTCAGGAACATAATCAACTGTATTAACTCTGCAACCATTTTTGTGACCAACTTAATCATATTTCTTCAATACAGGGGATTCTACTATAACATGATTGTTGCATTCCAGAGCAACAGTGCGTTATGAAAAATCACGCAATAGAAATAATGGGGCCTATTGGAAAAGTGGGGTTACGGGCAGGCCACCAAAAAAAAAATCACTCAAAATTCTTCCTCACCACTCTCCTTTAAGTATTGGTGCTATGCCTGTCACTTATGTGAGCCTTGACACTTATAATCAAATAAAATCTATTCATCTGCAACATAGTCTGCATCACAGCCTAGCCCATTGCTGATCTGACCTGACATTCCATTGGTACAGACTTCTGGATAGATTTTTAGAAAAGTGCAGCAGAGGAATCTGATCTTTCTTTCCTATGTAGCCCATTGACATTGAAGTCAATTGTAGGATTAAAATGCATTATAAACCTGAGTAACATTGTATTCAAAAAGAGCAGGTTATAACAGACAACTTTTGGTATTAATGATTTACATGAACAAGTTCAAAGGTTCTTACACATCAAATATGTAACAAAATCTAGGCAAAAATACTACACACAAAGGTGCATGTTTTAACAGCACTCATTATTTTAAACTATACTTCATTTTTTTTGCACTTAATGTGCTCAGCATAAACTCTTCAAACCTCGACTTCATATACTTCCCTAATAAGATGGTTGTTCTCTGTGTGATACTATATTTGAAGTTTATGACATACAATTCAATTACCTTTTTCAAATAAGCTCATTATGTCCTACTGTGAACATTTACACCATCTGCAAGGACCAAAAATAAAAGAAGTTTTTCTTTGACAAAGTCTGTGATGTCAACGTAAACTCGACAGAACTGTGTTATAGCGAACAGAAGTTTGCATTTTAAAAATAGCATTCCCCATTTGTCAATCATGTTACAGCCAATTCACATTGCCAGAACACACATTATAGCAGAACCCCCTGTATTCCCAATGGCACTGCCTCAGGTTGGGTCTAGTCCAAAACTTCAACCAGGGTTTTGTATGCATCTCTGACACCAGCTGCCCTCCAGTGCACTCTGCACCCCAGTCTCCTCCTCGTCACCGTTATCTATATGTGACCATCGTGGACGCGGGATTCACTTCCACGCATTGTGATGAAGCTCTCAGTTCCTGCAGTGTCTCTGCACTGTCTAACATGAGCTACCATCTCCTCCAGAATGAAGCGAAATTCCGTCAACATCCCAACATCCCAACTCCAAACCCCAACCCCCAACTCCCAACTCCCAACTCCCAACCCAACCCCCCAACTCCCAACCCCAACTCCCAACTCAACCCCCCAACTCCCAACCCCAACACCCAACTC